GATTTCTGTATGACCGCTATATGAATCCCACATGACCTCTCTATGACCTGTATATGACTTCCATATGACCTTTATATGACCTTCATATGACCTCCACATGACACCAATAAGAGTCATTCCTATAAACTTATAGAACTTCAAATTCTTATAAACATCGGATTCTCTATGAAACCAAAATAACCCTCCTATGACCCCCCCTCTTTCCAAAGAAAAATTTTAATCGCCCCTCTCCCTTCTAGCCCCCCTAACCCCTCCTCCATCGCTGTGACCCCTCTCTGCNATATATATATATATATATATATATATATATATATATTTGAATTTCATTTTTTTTTAATTCAAATTTATTTTTATTTACATGGGAGAGGTTCAAGGTTCGAGATTGAGGCTCAGACAATGTTTATTCAAATTAAGGATATAACAACCCCCTAACCCTCCAACCCCCAACCCTCAAACCCCCTAATTAACGATATAGGAACCCTTTTTAAGTCACGGGGGACTTGTACTTTTCGGGGTTCATGGCCACGAAAAATGGACACAAACTTCTCATTTCGCCACCAACCGGTCGTGTCCGTTCCGAGTCCATTCCGAGGCCGGACCACGGGCGGCCACCGCGATTTACGTACGTGTTTCTTCTTGACAATTCATCGCAGGCATTTCGAGATTGAAAAAAGAATTCCAACGTACAAATTCTAAGGCAGAAACTGAAATATTTTGGTGCTTGTGGAATTGAAATCGGTTAACGAGAACGAGTTTTTTTTTATAGAGGAACACGACAAAAATGATATTTTCCCTCCGGACTGTGGGAAACGGAATTAATTATTTAAATACCTCAAACATACAAACAATCCGATTTGACATGTCGGTTTGAATACCTCATATATGTCAGACGTGATGAACACAAGCTAAAATCGCTTTGTAACATCTTTAAACTTTGCTCGGCATCAATAAATCCACTTTTCATCACGCAATTGTTTTCTTGCTCGTTTAGTCATATTAATTCTCATTGTCGTGATTTTTAATTGAACTTGGGGTCAAATTATTCGTGAATTGCATTACGAATGTTGAAAATTGAAAGGAATTGAATTTTTTCATACTCAAGAAATTGAAGTCGGGTTGCAACTCTTACTGACAAGAATTGTCCTCCTCTCTGTCAGTTTATAACTGAACTAGGGGGCTACGCTCCTGCTCGCTTCGCTCGCCAACCCCCATATGACTCCTATGATTTTAATCTAACCCTCATTGAACCTTATTTTGGCCCTTCATTTCTGACCCTTGATTTTGTAGTCTTAATTGATCTCCATGACTCTTATTTGGACCCTTAATCTAAACTTTGTGATCCTTAATCTGACTCTTGTAACCCTCATTATAACCTTCGTGAACCTTATTTTGACGCTGGTGACCCTTTATTTGTAACTCTTGGTTTTTTACTCCCGTGTCCCTTATTTGGATCCTTACTCTGACCCTTATGACCCTTTACCTGATCCTTGTGACACTTATTTAGATCCTTAATCTGACCCTTCTTACCCTTATTTGGGCCCTTAATCTGACCCTTGTGACCCGTAATTTCGAGTACCAAATCCTGATCACCGGAAGTCGATTTGGATTGTTGTAATATAGAGAGATTTAAAATATATTTCATACTTTTGTTCATATTGATATATTGATGTTATCACCCTTGATAATTTATGCTCATGCAGAAATGCATAACAATAGTATATTTCGTAACGAGTGCAAAAAAGTGTTTTTTAGCGAGTGGGAGGTTTATATCACGAGCCGAAGGCGAGTAATATAATCCCACGAGCTAAAAAACATTTTTTCACGAGTTACGAACAATATTTTTCATCACAATGTGGCGGAAATTGGACTTTTAGGCACGCGGAGCGTGCCGAAAAGTTCACTTTTCGTCACAGCGTGATGAAAATAAATTAATGGTGACTTTAAAGTTGAATTTTTCATTTTTTAATCATTCCACGCTTACTTTCACTGGCTGGCAAGCATTAGACTTCGTTCCCAGGCCCAACTGTCCATAACCATTTCCTCCCCAGACGTAAAGATCCCCCTCGTCACTCAATGCCATTGTGTGGCCATATGAACAAACAACTTTATCTGGAATTCATGATAACGATAATTATGGTAATAGAATACAAAATGATTCATTCGATTGAGCGAGAGGATTGAAAATCTGATTTTCAATGAAGATTTACTGGGGAATGTACCTATAACTACACCAGTGAGCCCAGTCACTTTATGTGGACTCAGCTGGTTGATGTATGTGCCAATACCGAGTTGTCCAACGCTGTTATTCCCCCAGGCGTAAACTTCACCGTTACTTGTCAACGCCATACTCGAAGTTTGACCGCAAGCGATCTGCACTATTCTCTTGCCTGCTAAACTCGAGTTGATCTTCCTGGGAGTGTTTTGATTCGTACTTATCCCACTGCCTACTTGACCGCATGTGTTTTGACCCCATCCATATACCTGTGGAATAAAAGAAAAATAACAAACGAATAATTGCATTTTTCCGCAATGAGTACAGTTATTGTTCCTATATAAATTTGCAATTTGCTTCCAAATGGATTCTCTTTTTTTGGGAATTTTTATTTTACTATTCTTTTCTCTTCCTGCTTTTAAGCACCGACTATGGTCCGGTGTGTCTCGGGGAAGCTATTACTAACAGTGGAAGAATTAAAAATGATTCAATTGAAAATGTCGGCGATCTTTTGAAAGTGAAACCATCAGTTTGTTGCCGAATTTCTTCAAAAACAGAGCTCTGACGTTGGAATCATCAACTTCTTGCTCTTGTGTCCCAACTATTCGGCATTTACTTGGTCTAGTAGGTCTCTATGAAGCTATTGGCAACAAGAGACCGATTTAAAACGATCTGTTTAGAAATCTCGGCGATCTTTCAAATGCAAAATCATCAATTTTTCTATGGTTTTTTCTTGAAACAGTTCTCTGACGTTGAAATCATCAACTACTTGCTTTTGTGTCCTAAATATTCGGTATTTATTTGGTCACGTGGGTCTCTGGGATGCGATTAACAATGGGGGAAAGATTTAAGGTCTGTCTGTACTCAGGCCCTGCGTGTAACACTAGGAAAAACTATAAAATCTCTGAGTGTGACACTCGGCAAATTTATAAAATAGGATCTCTGCGTGTAACACTCGGAAAATTTATAGAATCCCTGAGTATGACACTCGGCCAATTTATAAAATCTCTGTGTGTAACACTCGGAAAATTTATGAAATCTCTCCGTGTGACACTCCGAAAATTCATGAGATCTCTGCGTATGAGACTCATACTGTGCGTGTCACACGAGGGCAGCCCACAAATATTTTGTGTGTCGTACTCAAACCCTGCGTGTAGCACGCATAGTGTAAAAAAACATGGTCCTTTTTAAAATCTTAATTAGTGTTTTGTCTAGTTTTTGTTTACATTTCTTTCATCAATATTGTTATTCACTTGATAGAGAAATCAGAATTCAATTTTGTTGCACAGAAGAATTTTTGTTTACTAGTGGGTTCGGCAAACCTCATCCCTCCCCATATATATTTCCAATGTAAGAAGTGACTTATTCTCCCCTGACCTTAGGGGAGAGTGGGGTAAAATGGAACAACCGAAAACGCCTATTTGACGCAATTTAAAAAAAACATTTTTTTATCAACGTTTTTTTATATTAACTTGTGTTTATTATGTTTTTTTATCATTGGGAGTTCTGATGAGAATAATAATTTTCTATTTGGTAGAAAAGAACATGCTCTGCGAAAATATCATTGATATTCAAAACCCCTATTGTATAGCGTAGCGACTACCTCCACTGATGAATCCCACTCCCCTGTTGCATCTCGATCTTAACGTCCACCAGTCAGCTTGTCCCCTGACTCTCCAACAGCCAAACTAAGACCTCATCATCGCTGAGTCTATGTGTTCACTCCTGATTTGAAAGTTTGAAGGTTTTTCATGTATTTCTTATATCGAGACGACAATATTAATAATTTTCACCACTTTTATCCACAGTTCTCTTTTCAAGTAATATGAAATATTTCATCTATAATTCAATTGATCAGATTAGGGCGATTACACTTTTCTTTTTTCATTCGATTGAAATTCAGCATCACACTTTCCTTTCTTCCTCTCTGGGTCTGCCCCTAGGCCTTCCACTGAATTTTGGATTTTGCTGTTTCATTTTCTTTACAATTAATCAACTCATAAAATATTCTCTCGTCAGAACTTCTCAGTAATTTTCCATTCTACTGAATGGAAAATTATTATTCTCATCAGTGCTCCCAATAGAAAAAAAAAAGTTGATAAAAAAAATAGTAAATAAAAAACAAATTTCTTTTACTTGAATCGCGTCAAACAGTCGTTTTTCGACTGTTTCATTTTGCCCCACTGTTCCCTATTATTTCACGTGCTCCACCACTTCCCAGCTGAACTAAACCTCTGTCGTCCATTAATTTCATTGCATTACCAAAATCTCATCAAAATCATTTTAGATATATTTATACTCACTTCTCCATCCTCCGTAATCGCCAGAGAATGATGACTTCCACATGCTACCGATATAATAGGCTTGTCCTCAAAGTTGCAGGCAACTTTAGTGGGAGTTGAGCCCTGGTTCGCCGATCCATTACCAAGTTCGCAATAGCCATTGTGTCCCCAAGAATAAACCTCGCCCTTGGCAGTGAGGGCCAGTACATGGGGTCCAATTCCAAAGGCAAATGTCTTGATTTCCTTCTGAAACAATGCCTCAACTTTCACTGGATACAGAGTGCTGTGTCCATCACCTGTTCCCAGGCAGCCAGATGCATTACTACCCAAGGCGTATACTGCATCGTCTTTGGTCACCATAAGCGTTTCATTACCCAATCCTTGAATAAAAATAAAAAAAATAAAATTATCCGATAAAATGAATGCAATAATCGTTTTTTGCTTCCGGGTGCAGCATTGTAATTGTAATATCAAACTAAAACTTCCGTTAAAAAAACTTCGTCAAAAAAACTTGGTCAATTAAATTTGATCAAAACAACTTGGTAACAAAAAAAACTTGAAGAAAAAAAAATTCGAACAACTTGAACTTCAAAAAAATTGAAAAAAACTTTTAAACTTTTAACGCATAAAGAAAATTGCAAAAAAAAATTGTAAAAAAAGTCCACACGCATGCATAAATACGTGCGTACAGACACTTTCTAAAAGTCGCATATTCAGACTTTTTGGATCATTTTTAGTTACCCTGATACAAAAATTTTGAAACTTAAATTTGAACGACTACAAAGCTTCCAGTCGGAAGCAACAAAAATGTAAAAAAACCGAACAAACTACAATGCAAAACATCGTATCTAGAATAAACAGCATCAAGTCTTGATTCCAAATGATTTGGCACAAATTCATATGCACAAACAAACAACACTCTGAAATTCCGAATACAAACACAGATTTTACAAAAGATAAAATAACCGAAAGATTTTATCAACGGAAGTTCAATTTGACAAAAGTTCAATTAACCAAAAGTTCACTTTCTCAAGTTGAATTTAACCAGGTTTTTTTAATGAAGTTTTTTAGACGCGCTCCGCTTCCCGGTGATCAATTTTTAGAAAATTGAGTAATTAAGTGGCTAAAGTAATTCCAAAAAATCTGTAATTTTGTCAAATTATAGGTCTTAATAAGGACTAACTCCGAAAATTTTTACCTCGATCGATCTAATAAGTTTTGAGAAGTGATTCGTTTTTAAATAGTTTTCCGCAAATATCTTTAAAACTACTGGATCGATTCCGATTCTTTTGCATTCAAAATATTCGTTTCAATGCCTTCTATCTAAATCAATCGAAGTATATATACCCGTTCATACAATGTTTTCGAGCTATTTCCGTTTTTCGCGTTCTTTCATAAAAAACTTTGTAATCACTCTATAGGTTTAGTGTAAAAATCTAAATATCAACTTGAAACTTGGACAGAATCTTCCTCTCATGATAACAACGGTTCGTATTGAAGGTGGGCTCAATCGCATCAGTACTTTCGTAGATAGTCGCCTTTTTCTAATATATTTTATATGCAATATCTTCAAAACTACGCAACTGATTTCCCTTTTTTTTTTCAAAATAGCCGTTTCGATGCCTTCTGCCTGAATCAATTAAAACATATGTAACCGTTCATACAAAGTTTTCGAGATATTCCCATTTTTCTGTTTTTTTCATGAAAAACTTTGTAATCATCCTATCTTGTATAAACATCGAAATATCAACTTCTTTTTTTAAAATATTTATAACATTCAAACCATTCGGTTTATTCCACAAAATAAAAAAATTATAATAATCGTTGTTTTAGAAATATTAAGGGAAAATTTTTGCTTGAAATAATCGAAGCTAGCTAGTCTTAATTGAGAGATCGAAATTAACAATATCATTAATAATCTAAACTATCGATTGACCATTAAATAAATAGTTGTAAATTTCTTTGAATGATCCTTGATTAACTAATTAAACGTTAATTTTTCGAATTCGATTACTGATAATTTGATAACGTGAAATTTATTTAATATAATTTACTGATTTGATACGTGATAACATAATTCCATTTAAATATTATGACTTAGGCAATTTTTTTTTCGTTGAAATTGTTTTCTCCACGATGTTTTGAAAATCTAAACTTCCACATAAGGATGTTTCGAGGTAGGCTAAGCTACCCAGTAGATGGACACTGCCCTGTAGATGGACGAGCTACTTTTGGATAGGAAATTACGCACAAAAACACTGAAATGTGAATTGTTGCTTTGAATTTTCACCAACTGTCGTGATTCTTAACCCCTGAGTGACGATTTTTTTTCGATCAATTTTTTTTTCATTTGCTAAAAAACAAACGTCCATCTACTGGGCAGTTTACCCTAGGTAGGGTAAAATGGACCCTTTTGACAATTTTTCCGATGTTTATAATTCAATGAAAAATTTATTTATTGAGTTCAGTCTAGGCTCATCACAAAGGAAGAGAGGGATCCTATGTTCCATGGAAAAACATCATGTTCGATATAATTTTGGTAATTATTTAGGTTGATGAAGGGAGCCAAGAAATCAACTTTTCTGATAGTCGAAAACTAGGAAATGAACAATATTTCTATCGTACACCTTCTCTTACGTGATTGATTTCGAAATTGATGATTCACTCACTAGAAGACTCCAGAAATAAGAATAAAAATAGAGGACTATGGAGAAAAATGTATTGTACTAAGAAAAAACTATAAATAAAAATGAAACAATCAACCAAGGAAAAATATCAACTCCATCAAAAACCGAAGGAAATAAATGAAAAACTTGACATTCTCATCGTTTACCTCCAACCATCACTTCAAACTAAAACTATGAATTCGAATAATGATTAATACTGGTTGTAAACAAAGCAAAGAAATTCTGAGAAAGAAATATTAGTAACTCACCAAAGATCAGAACAGTGCTGAGTTCCTTCGCAAAATCCTTCTCTAGCAGACTCAAAATCGGCCAGTTTTTCAAATCCGAGCGACTCATCCTCTCTCGCTTAATCCACCCTGCAAATCATCCTCCTCTTGACCCAACCCCAATAAAAAAAAGCCCCAATGCACCTGTCAAAAGAACAACAAACCCCTGGAAATTGTCACGTCTTCCTTCACTCCACTGTCAAATATAATCAGCTGACGTTTCAATTCGTATATTTATAGGTGGAGTAAAACCACTTTTTTCCCTTTTTTCCTCTCTAATAAGGTGCACTGTAGCGCTTGACTATTCTGGTGGTGATTATTGGAACGAGAGGGGTGAGGTGACGGTAGAAATACAAATCGATAGACTATCGAGTTATTTTGTTCAGTTAATTACCACAAGGGTCACAAGTTATTCATCATAAATTCAATAAACAATAAACAATACGTTTATAACAACATTGTTATCCCCTAAAGTGATACTATTGGCTGTTCTGACATAACCAAACATTTTTGCAGTAGCCCGTAGGATGCTTGATGGCGCTGATTGTTCGGTACAACGAGAGAGACAGAGAGAGAATAAAAAGAGAGAGAGTACACGCGCTAGCATTGAGGGCGTACTGATCTAAAAAAGCGTCTGGCAACACTGGTTTTGCTAACCATTACAAGCTCTAACCTCGAAAAACTTGAAGGGGGTCCCTTCCAGCCAGAGGTACCAAGCAAAAGCCAGCAAAGTAGTTCGAGCAGTAGATGTGGCACCTGGCCCCCTAGCCATAGGGGTACAACCGGAACACTAAAAGGGACAACATCAAGAGTATTCAGCTGTTGAGAAGAGCTTTAATTATTATTTATTTATAAGAAAAAACAAGCACATCGTAAGGGATTTTTTTGTTGATTTTAACGTGGGTATAATCCAGTGAACCCAACCTGAATCCAATAGACAGCACAATCAAGATATTAATCCCACAAAGATGACCATTATTGTGTTTCTCATCGACACATCGGCCTCTATGAATCAGAGAGCAGATTTGGGTGGACGACCCACGCTTCTCGACGTCGCTAAGAAGGCGGTTGAGACATTTGTCAAAGTATATTATCGTTCATGAATTTTTTAGTGAATTTATCGACTATTTTAGTTTCGTAAAACACATGTAATTGGCTCGATTTTTATTGTAGGTCAGACAGAGGTCTCCTGAGAGCAGGGGGGACAGGTACATGCTGCTGACTTTTGAGGATCCACCTCATAATATTAAAGTGAGAATTTATTGTTTGAAAAAGTTGGTTTAAGGGGGATAATTGTGAGTTCCTGGAGGGTGGGGCAAAATCAGTTTGTTTAGATCTTTGATATCTCATCACCAAATGATTAGATTTGCATGAGTCTCGACTCATTTTGAAGATCTAGAAAAGACCTTAAAAATGAGACCTTGAAAATTCGTGGAATTTCACACTGCCAATCTCGAGTTATTGACGATTGAAGACAATTTTAGTCCCTCTTGGCTTTCATTATTGTTCTGTATTATTTTGTCTTTCAGGCGGGGTGGAAGGAGAACCTAGCGACCTTCATGAATGAACTAAAGAATCTCCAATGTGTAGGTCTGACAACCCTCTGTGCAGCCCTGAAACATGCCCTGGACGTCTTGAATATCAATAGAATGCAGACTGGCATTGATACTTATGGCCAGGGCAGATGTCCCTTCTTCCTGGAGCCCTCAGTCATCGTTCTAATCACAGATGGTGGAAAGTACACAACGACGAGTGGTGTCCAGCAAGACGTAGGTCAATCCCATGACTCCAAGGCTTCAATATTTGGACATTAATTCCTTGACTCTTATTTTCTAGTTCACCCTGCCCATGCACCCACCGATAGTGGGCTCAGAACTGACCAAAGAGCCTTTTAGGTGGGACCAGCGTGTGTTCTCCCTGGTGTTGAGGCTATCAGGGACACCAGCAGTCGACAGAGACACGGGCCTTGTCGCCAGTGACACATCCCCGATCGATGCTATGTGTGAAATAACTGGAGGTAATAAAATTAATTCCAGTTCACTCAATTTTCCATTCTAGAAAGTCGAATGAAAAAATATTTTAAAAGTGGACTGCAGGAGTAAACATTTCCAAGTGGAGAAACTACATTTTTGGGAATTTTTTCAATTAGCGAAGGCAATGAATTATACTCGATTATGATTCATGGGATTCTGCTGAATGCAAGTGACTTGAGTCCATTTGGAAGAAATTGACTGTTATTTATTGAATTTCATTCCAATTTGGTATTTTTATCCGACGAAACTTAAATATAAGTTTTCCAAGTGGGAGAATTACATTTTTGTTGTTTTTTTTTCAACTAGAGAATGCAATGGATTGTACTTGATTAGAATTCACAAAGTTTTGTTGAATGCAACTGTTATTTATTGAGTCAATGAGATACTATTGAAAATACTGTCTAGAAAACATCTTTTGTGAGTTAGGTTTCATCGAATTTCATTGCAAGTCGGTAATTTTTATATGGCGAAACTAGAATCTTGAGAACAGATGGAAGCTATGGTAATACATGTGCGTTTTGGAATTTTTCATCTATCAGCACTCATCGAGTCTCAGTGATAGCGACCCATATCAGACTTGGTAGAAAACGGGCCCGAACTTGAGAGTTGAATAAAAATTGTATTTTCAAAAAAAATTTCTTTGTACCGTTTTGCCTCTTCGCTAGAGATTCAATTCATCGGAGTCCCATTGTAACGATTTGCGACATTCCTTATGGAACATTATGCCAGAAGTGAAATTAGTAGCGAAACGGTAAAACGATTTGAGTCGACTTAGCCCTTAGCTGAGTTTGCGGTGAATATCTCCAAATCTAAGGGAGATAATAAAATTTTCGTAATGACCTTTTTTGTAGAGCGAATTGAGGGCTACAAAAAAGGTCATAACAAAAATTTTGCCATCTCTCCTAGATTTCGAGATATTCGTTGAAAACTGGCCAATAGTCAAAATCGACTTAAACCGGTTTACCCCTTCGCTACTTAAATACTCTCTGGTAGTCCAAATACATCAGAAATAAACAAAGAGTGTGATTCGATGATTCACAGTCAGGATTCTTACCAATATTTCACAACATCAGCAGTTAATAATATTGAGTCAACATTGATTGAATCAATTATTTTCAGTTTCGTCACATTCAACTGACCTCCATCAATCCCAATCAACATCAACTTTACATGAATTATTACATAATAAAATTCCAAGAATGCTGTCCAACGTGAACATCCTCAATCCCATAAATAAGAAATGGGACCCGTATATCATCCCAGGGCTATTATTCGATCATCTTAGATGTTTGTAAGGTATAAATTACATTGAAAGAGAGATGCTACATTTTATCCATTCACTCTCATGATCTTAACATGAGGCAAATAAATCATTAATTAATAATGCACTGTGCACAAATTAAAGAATACTTCAATTTGTGAATTATTAACGAATTATTTATCTGCCTCATATAGAGGTCATGAAAATGACCAACCATCTAAGATGCGCGAATACTAATAGCCCTGGTCTAATACAGAAATTTAATGAATCGGTCGAATAAAGAAATCTAAGAAATGAGATAATAACAACCTTTTTCTTCCAGGTCGTTCCTACTGCATAACATCCCACAGGATGATGATGCAATGCATAGATTCCCTGGTGCAAAAAGTCCAGTCAGGAGTAGTGATAAATTTCGAAAAAATCGGACCGGATCCGCCTCCCTTACCAAACGAGCTCCCAAACTCCGGTCAACAGATGCCCCAGAATACTCTCCCCCTGATGCAAGCCCCAGTCCAGCCCGAAGACGAGGAGAACGACGATGAGAACTCCTCAATAGCAGCTAACGGTGCAAAGTCCCAGTACCTCCCCCAGCCCCCAGCTGTTGGTAACACAGCCTGGCACTCGTGCAGAAGACTGATCTACGTACCAAGATCAGCGCAAAAGGGCTTTGCCGTTGGATTCTGGCCTATTCCCGAGAGCTTCTGGCCTGACTTGAGCGCCAGTACACTGCCTCCAAGAACAGCCCATCCCCTCGTTAAATTTACCTGCACAAGCCAGGAGCCGATGGTGATAGAGAACCTGCCATTCGACAAATACGAACTAGAACCCAGTCCTCTGACCCAGTACATTCTCGCTAGAAAACAGCCGACGACCTGTTGGCAGGTCTTCGTGGCAAATTCTTATAAATCCAGTGAAGTTGGCCACCCCTTTGGCTACCTGAAAGCAAGCACAAACCTCACCTGTGTGAACCTATTCGTAATGCCTTACAACTATCCAGTCCTCCTGCCACTCCTCGAGGAGCTCTTCAAGGTCCACAGGCTGAAGCCCACCAACGAATGGAGAACACAATTTCAGAATTACATGAGAACAATGCCAACTTACTACGCAGCCTCACTACGACGAGCCTTAACGAGAATGGGAGCCCCAACCCCTCTGGCCCAAACTCTAATCCCAGACAATATGGATAATTCGTTATCATACAGTGTTTTGAATCACTTGAAGAGGCTGAAGAACCAGGCGAAGATTGAATTCGATAGATTATGCAATGAAGTAATCTCTAAACAAGTGGCCAACGCCAATGCGAGTAAACTGCTGGTGAATGGATCGTCGTCACAGTTATCTGAAGGTGTTCGAGTGATACCGAGGAGTCCCCTGAAGAAGGACCTGGTGTCCCATCCTCTTCTGCAGGACAAATTCATCGGTCTCAGGGATCAGCTGAATGAATTTGGGGGCTTTACGGTGCGTGTCGTGAGGAGTCAGCAGCAGAGAAGTGCCCACAGTTACAGAAATGCCTTTGATGTACCGAGAAAGAGTCTGCTGGATCAGGTGGTGAGGATGAGAGCCAACTTTTTACAACCTGGCTTGTTACACACTAAATTATTGGATGATGATTACGTGCATTCCATGCCAGTGGCACAGATGGGAAATTACCAGGAGTACCTCAAACGTATGACACCACCATTGAGAGAGATTGAGAGTGTACCAGTGCGTCAGCACATGTTCGGTAATCCCTTCAAGATTGACAAGAGGATGATGGTTGATGAGGCTGATATTGATATGGTGGGGGCGACATCATCGTCGAATGCTAATACAAATAATACGAATTCTTCGGTGGTATTGGCACCAACGTCGCCCATTTCACCGACAAATTCCATTCCCAATTCTGGGATTTTGACGGGTATCACGATAAAAGGCAGCTTGAAGCGTTCTTTAGACAATAATGGGGGCAATGGGAGTGTCAGTCCCATTGTGTCTAGACCACCCAGTAAAAGAAAGCCAGGACCAATACCTAGAGAAGTTGTTGTGAGAAGACCGAGTTATTCGTCACCAGTTAACAAATCACCCTCAGTGTCACCTGTTCCCTGGTGCCAGGAGCCCAAAAGCCCCACTGGACCACCACCTGAGGTGGTGACAGCTCCCTCATCATCGAATGTTCTTGTTCCTGTTTCTATGAGCTCTACCAATGCTGGAAATTCTGGTACAATTGCCAACAACTCCACGATATCCACGATTCCTGATAAATTGACTAATGGCCTGACACCAGCTGCTGAAATTACTGAACCTGTGGAGAATCATTCTGTACCAACTAGCAACAATATCAAGGGTGTCAAGCAAAAGGGTCTTGCTGAAAATACAGAGCCCAAGGTGGAGTGCAATGAGAGCAATGCTTCAGAGGGTAATAATAGTGTTAATTCGATTGATAAGAAGGACGAACGTATCACGAATCATGTGGAGGAGGGAAAAATTGTCAAGGGAGAGAGATCACTGTCCAAGAAGGAGTTGGAGGAGGTCAGGAAACATAATTTGTCAATTAGAGAACTTGTGCATAAGGAAGTTAGGAAAAGAGGAACGAGTAAGTTTCATTCATTAAGAAATAATAAGAGAAAAAGAGTGAAGAAGTAACAAATTTTTTTTTCATTGATAATATTTATTCTTTTTTTGATTTTTCAAGGAGTTTATAATGAACATGAAATTTTTGTGTTTTTTGTTGTAGATTATAAAACGCTATTTTCGCACATGCAACAAATAAAAGGGACCCTCGATATTCGAGTTGCTTTTGTTCGTGAGATAGTGAAAGAATCGTTGAGATTCAAACGCCGTAATTTGGCTAAATTGTTGGAGGATTACTTGAGCACGGTCCAGCGGGACGGAATAGGAACGAATTTGGATGTTTCATAGTTAAACCATTATGATATTTTTTTTTCTTCACTTTTTTTGTTATACAGAAGATTTTTAATATAAAATGATGATTAATGTGTATATACACTCAGTAAGATGGAATTTTTTAAAGTGAATTTAATGAGTGGAATGAGGAGAGACTTGTTGAGGGAGTCTCGAGATTCTACAATAAATTTGGAAGTTGATTGTGTTGAGTTATTTTGACTGTTGACTATGTGAACATTATTGTCTTGCATGAGTGACTCCTTTTTACAATTCGCATTCTTCTCCCATTTTTACTTGATTTTTTTTCCATTTCTTTTTGTACTCAGCAACAATATCATGTATGTTGTACAGTATGTCTCCCTTCTTTTTGGTTTGACTATTGTGAGATGAGTCGTCTGTACGCTTAAACATAAAGACTTTGCACCAAGATAAAATGAAACAGTTGATTAATGACACCAAGTGCGATTTTTATTAATGAAGAAAAAAAAATAATGAAAGATTAATCGATTTAATAAGTAAATGAATTGTGGTTATTTTATGATTAAATTGTGTAACTTTGTGATCACAATTTGTACATAATTTACACTGATAAAGAGGAAAATTATTCAACGAGAGTATGATTATTGTTTTGTAAATACATACAATTGTATATAAAAGATAGTGTTATTAGAAAATATAATTTTTTTCTTATCAATGTGTTTTGGTCTTTTTTTCTCACGAGATATTTATGTAATCTTTACGCGTCTGATTGTGAGTCAGTTTCTTACGAGTGTTATCAGCATTCTCGGAATTCACGACGTCAGGAATTATTTTTTCAGGTGAAAGATGGCTAGAAAAGGAAAAAAATTCATTCGGTTTAATCAGCAATTGACAAAGATGAATGAATAAATAAAATGATGAAAAGTATATGAAGGCAATGGGTTCCCGCGTAAAACGGAACGAAGATTCTCAATGGAGATACGCCCGTACGTCTGACCATTGCTACAATATCAAAATGGCCGCATTTTAGTCTTCAGTGATACGACTCTCTTTGCTGTTTGCCAATAAGCTAAAACGGAATTCATTAACAATAAATAATAACTTGCGGGTTAACCAGTGGCATAGTTTATCATCAGTGGTGGGTTATCGAGTTGATCTACTCGTTGATAGGAGCATCAGTGATAAACTTCAGTGAGTAATCCATGATGAAGTACGATAATAATGGCCATAACGGTGTTGGCCACCTCCTCCCCTTCGGTCAGCAATCACATTCTGCCAGTTTGCCGGGTCAAACCCATTGTCTATCGACTAATTTATTTATAGATAAATATTAGTACTATGTCGCTGCTATTTCAAACCCCAGGGTCAATCCATAACTGTTTTTCGGTTGAAATTCCAATTGTTGAAAATCAATTCCACATTTCTTACAGTTGATGGCAGTTTTTCCGACTACAATTGGGGTTTCAGGATTTTTTTTTTGATAATTATCGATGTTTGATTGCAGATAGTGAGACATTCGGATGATGTTACGGCATCAGCATCACTCGATGCAAAATCAGTTGAGAGATCAGAACAGGTTTGGAATTAGAGACTTGATGATTTTGTTTAGAATTAAGCGGTGGAGCGGCGGGATGGGAAGGGGAGAGGTGGGAGGAATTTATATTTTATGCGAAGTTCTATATCTCTAGATTGGCGGAGTAAAGTTTAATTTGATTTGGGATATTTGCGCGTTTTTTGCGACCTTCAGAAGAGCAAGATCATTGAAGTCGAATATTTTGGTTGAGAGATATGAATATTGAAAAATTGAAATTTTCAATTTATATTGGCTTCAGTGAATTTTGGTTTCTGGGAAATATAGAGGAATGTTGGAGAGACGGGGAATTTTTCATGGGGCTCTTCGTTCTCTCTTGGGTTAAGAGATATTTGTCAAGAAAGATCAAAAATATTTATAAAAGACTTGAAATTTCATTGACAGTTCTGTCGTAATTTTCAGTAGAACCACATTTAATTCAATTTAGGGGGAAAATCATGCAACTTGCTTGAATTTTCATTTGGAACATGAACATTAAAGGGAAACGAAACTCCTGTGTCTCCCTGAAATTTCAAAATTGTGTTTTCTCCTGGAATTATTATTTTTTCGTTATGAAAGTACTTTATTGACTCGATCACTGCATTGTTCGAGTCAATGAAGTAGTTTCATAGATAAAAAATAATAATTGCAGGAGAAAGCACAATTTTAAAAGTTCATATAGACAGAGGTTTCGTTTCCCCTTAAGATGAGACAGAATCATTTGAACAAAAGATATGAAGTTTTAAGAAGTTTCATTTTCCCTCACACCTGAGGAAATTTCCAGGCATGACAAAACTGAAAATCGTGAATTGTGTGTGACTCCAGGTATTTTTCCAAGTTTCAAAATGGAACGAATTTTGACTAAGTTGTTTCATCTGGTCAGAAGATATGAACATTCAGAAGTTCTTCGACATCAATTGTTCCGAATATTTTAGGATCCAAACAGAAACTGATTTTTCACTCAGAAATCAGTTGACAAAACAGAATAACGAAATTCTTATGAGACCATTTTTGTGGTTTTCATTTCGATATATCAAAATTTAATCTTGAATTCGAAGATATTGAGGACTCTACATCACTAGAGTGTAATAAACTTTTTAAAATACAATTTTCGGAGGTTTAATACACAAATGAAAAATTCCTATAGGATTTCTGCAGGATATCCTATAAGATTTTCAATAGGATTTCCTATGAAATTTAGGGTCATAAGGTTCAGAGTAAAAGAGTCATATGGGAGTCATATTGTGATCATATAGGGGTCATATGAGGGTCATATGAAGGTCATATGGGAAGGTTATGTGGGGATTATGGGAGTCATATAAGGGCTATATGAGAGTTATATGAGAGTCATATGGGGGTCATACAGAGGTCGTAGGAAAATCATATGGGGGTCATATGAATATTAAATGACCTTCATATGAGCCCCATATAATCCCTTTATAACCCCCATGTAACCTCTGTATGACCCCATATGACCCTGATATAATTCCCATATGACCCTCATGTAACATCCATATGACCTCCAGATGACCCCCCATATGACCCTCACATAATCCCCATATGACACTTTTGACCCTCATTGTGACCCTCATACCCCTAAATTTGATAGGTAATCCTATTGAAAGTTTCATATGAAATCCTATAGAAAATCCTATAGGATTTCAGCTGTGTGAACTTGGAGTCGAAGTTTGATAAATCGATTTTTTTTCTTATAGTATTGATTGTACTCAGTGAGTACCTGAATGTACCCCATTCATTTTCGTTTGTACCCCGCACCCTTAGACGTAATGGGTGCGGGAAAAATCGTGCAGCGTCGGAAATGGAGGTACGGAAAAAAATTTCATGAGCAAGGATTCAGCATGGATAGTACTTGTATGTACTATATTTTTCCATTTCATTTAACAACCCCTTCAATACTTTACCCCCTTCTAAAATCTTAAATATATGAGGGACGTGAGGAAAACATACAGATAGCTTCTAAATCGTTAGTACTCGTTTGTACCAACGAAAATTATTCATTATTATTATTATTATTATTATTCTCATCAAATCACCTGATTCCATTTTTATCAGCCATAAAATCATCGTAATGGATTCCGTATGTAGTTCGTGAAGTTTTGATGTGGGTACAAACCTCTCATCTTCCGTACTTCCACTCCCATCGCAGTACAAACGAAACAATTCACTGGATATGATAATGAGACCAACTACAAACCATTGAGAGCTTCAAAAACAGTCGTAGGTTATTCAGAAAAATGGTACAAACGTTTTTCTGAATTTTATTGGTGTTTAGTGAGGTGTTGGTACAAACCTCTGATCTCTCGTACTTCTACTCCTATCGCTATTGTTCCGTTTGTACTGCGATGGAAGTGGAAGTACGGAAGATGAGACGTTGTACCCACATCAAAACTTCACGAACTACATATGGAATCCATTACGATGATTTTACGGTTGATAAAAATGGAATCAGGTGATTTGATCATAATAATAATAATAATAATAATAATAATAATAATAATAATAATAATAATAATAATAATAATAATAATAATAATAATAATAATAATGAATAATTTTCGTTGGTACAAACGAGTAGTAGCGATTTAGAAGCTATCTGTATGTTTTCCTCACGTCCCCCATACATTTAAGATTTTAGAAGGGGGTAAAGTATTGAAGGCGTTGTTAAATGAAATGGAAAAATATAGTATATACAAGTACTATCCATGCTGAATCCTTGCTCATGAAAATTTTTTCCGTACCTTCATTTCCGACGCTGCACGATTTTTCCCGCACCCCTTTCGTCTAGGGGTGCGGGGTACAAACGAAAATGAATGTGGTACATTCAGGTACTCACTGAGTACAATTGATACTGTAAGAAAAAAAATCGATTTATCAAACTTCGACTCCAAGTTCACACAGCTTAGGATTTCTTCATACGTGATATTTCATTTCGATATATCAAAATATCTTCATTTCCCTTGAATTTTAACATATTCGGAATAAAAATTTTGTACGCAAATGGGACTCACCTTCTCTCACGACTCCACCACTGAATTGTTCAAGGTATCTCGAATTAAAAAAAAATAATCAATCGAAATGAAATAAAATGATCTCGGTTAGGATGGCTGGAGGTACGCGTCAGATGCCGCAGGGGAACATGATGCCACCGCATCAGCCACCCCCTCACATGCATCTGCATAGGGGTGTCCATGCGCCCCATCATCAGCAGATGATCTCCCAGCCCATGCATCACATACAGCACACTGGCCCGAGGCAGCCACTCCTGATCGGTACAAACGTACAGAATCCGAATGGTGAGTTCTATTTCAATCCGCCATCCTCATCGCATGGCGATGTAATTACGTTATTATAATTTTTTTTTTTTAATTGACAATGCACAAGTTACTAGTGTATTGCACACCAGGAAATAAATCCCAAATTGAGAATATTGTTAATAATTAGAGAACGACTTAGTACACCTAATTGTTGATTTATTGACCTCAGAAACTACTGGGTTTTGAGGAAAATGTCGTTATATTCTTTTTCTAATCTTATTACCAAAATGCTTCAATATTTATCGAGATGAGGAGAATCCAATAGAATTTTAGAAATTATGAATATTCTTAAAGACTACTATTGGAAATGGGTGATTTTTAATAAAAATCAATCCGGTTGATTTGAAACTTCTCTTTATTTGAAATTATTTACGAGGAAGACACATCCACACGCTTTGAGCTCCTCAGATGGACTAACTAAAGAAACAAAGATCCCAGAGGTCTGAAACCCTGGCGACATAGACCCACAAAGGTCTCTATTCATTTACAGATGTTTAGACTGAAAAACCAAATGCCCAAACATTCGTCCACGCTCTTCTCAGAATTTCAGATCAGAAAAATGTTCTCTTATAATAATATAAACATACTGTGAAATATAAAATTAATTTTTGTAATCATGGAATGTGAACTCCAACACGCCCCCTCAAAAATTAATTCGGTACATCTCTCATATCATAATTATATCATTCACATCATAAAATAATAATATTCATAATTCCACATATACCTTAAAACTAATGTGTCTTCCTTGCATTTCCTGGGAGTCTTACTATGGCCCAATATTTGTTGCGCAGGATTAGGGAAAACCCAGAAAAACCTAATCAGGCCACTACTAATTACACACTAATTATTTACACTTTTTACATCCCTTCACAATGAATAAAAATGTGCCAATAATTATTCCAAGCCCATTTGTGTTCTCAGTTCCACAAATTTTGTAGTTGGGAGTGGCTTCGTAAGGGCATCTGCTAACTGTTTACCTGGTGGAACATAATTTAAAGTTATTAGACCTTTTTCAATTAGTTCTCTCGAGATGTGATACTTTATATCAATGTGTTTCGTCTTTTTGTGGTTAGTTGGATTATTCCCAATGCTAATACAACCCATATTATCTTCGTTAATCACGATTGGTCTTTCGATATTTATTTTAATGCTATCAGCCAATGAGTTTAACCATACAGCCTCTTTGACTGCTTCATAAAGCGCCATATATTCAGCTTCAATCGATGAAGCTGCTACTGATAATTGTTTCTTAGTTGCCCAGCAAATTGTACATCTATTGTACATCCTAAATAAATATCCTGTCGTAAATTTTCTGTCAATTTCATTACTTCCCCAATCTGAATCTACGTAACCACATAGTATATTTTCATTGCCCCCCCTGAGTGTATGTCAGTTTGAGATCTTTTGTCCCCTTCAAGTATCTGAGCACTCTTTTTAGACATCTCCATAATTCCTTATTATTTTTGTTGGTGAATCTACTTAAATATTTATCGCAGCACTCAAATCAGGTCTGGTGCTCACCATGACATACATTAAGCACCCGATTAAATTTCGGCATGGTGCGGTATAATTTTTTTCAGAATTCAATGCTGTGTAATCAAGTTTACTCTCTAGTGGTGTGCTCACTGGATTGTAGTCACTCATTCTAAATTTTTCGAGTATTGATTTGATATAGCCACTCTGATCCAATGTTATTTTATTCTCATTTCTACTGATTCGAATTCCCAAAAAGAGTTTAATTTCTTTTAAATCCACCATCAAAAATTTGTTCATTAAATATTCTTCAAAGTCATTCATAATATCNATGCTGTATAATCAAGTTTACTCTCTAGTGGTGTGCTCACTGGATTGCAGTCACTCATTCTAAATTTTTCGAGTATTGATTTGATATAGCCACTCTGATGCAATGTTATTTTATTCTCATTTCTACTGATTCGAATTCCCAAAAAGAGTTTAATTTCTTTTAAATCCACCATGAAAAATTTGTTTATTAAATATTCTTTAAAGTCATTCATAATATCAATACTGGCTGTAACAATCACCAAGTCATCAACATATAAAACAACGTAAATATTCTTTGAGACATCTCCCTTGTCTAAAATATAAATGCATCTGTCTACTAATGAACTTTGAAACCCTTTTTCTTTGAGAGTTTCTTCAAAAACTTGGAACCAACATCTAGCTGCCTGTTTTAATCCATAAAGAGCCTTATTAAGTTTGCACACTTGATTATCTTCGCATGTAATTCCTTCAGGTACTCTCATATAAATTTCTTCTTTCAGTTTCCCATTTAAAAATGAAGTTTTCACATCCATATGATGTATTAATAAATTATTCTCATTTGCGAAAGCTAATAAGAACCTAAAACTTGCAATTCTCGCGACTGGAGCAAATATCTCTTCATAATCTACCATATATTCTTGACTGTATCCTCTAGCAACTAAACGAGCTTTGCATTTTACTGGATTTCCAAATTCATCATTTTTCATGGTAAATACCCATTTACAGTCTACGATATTCTTGTTCTCGGGTCTTTGTACCAGCGTCCACGTTTCATTTACCTGAAGAGAGTTTAATTCATCATTTATAGCTCGCTCCCACTGAGCTCTGTCTTCTCTATCTTTTATTTCCCCATAAGTCTTAGGAATTTACCCAATAACCGCCTGAGCACACAAAATATCATTCGTAATATTTTCTTCTCTATACGATACAGAAGGAAGCCCTTTGATTCTTTCACTTCTCCTGAGATTTTCATTGGTTTCATCATTACTTGATGAAGATTTCTCTATACCTTCATTTTCACCTGTTGTTGCTTCACGCTCATTGTTTTGAATTTTAACAATTTTACTTGGCCCACCATCAGTGTCCAATTTTTCAATTACTTCAATTTCATCTGTTTTCATATTATCAGATGACCGAGACTTTACTGATTTCGACACGCAGTCCAATACATCAGTTTCATTCCGAGTACCACTACTTCGGTTTTCTTCAGCCTTATTCTCAGGTTTCACATGTGGCCTTGACTGAAAAAAATTCGTCTCGTCCACAATGACGTCCCTCANGTGTCCAATTTTTCAATTACTTCAATTTCATCTGTTTTCATATTATCAGATGACCGAGACTTTACTGATTTCGACACGCAGTCCAATACATCAGTTTCATTCCGAGTACCACTACTTCGGTTTTCTTCAGCCTTATTCTCAGGTTTCACATGTGGCCTTGACTGAAGAAAATTCGTCTCGTCCACAATGACGTCCCTCGCAACAACGTATTTCTCAGATTCTACATCCCATACTCTGTAACCATTCGGTTCATACCCTACTAAAATAGCTTTCCATGACTTTTCATCGAATTTCCCTTTTCTAGTTTTGTCGTGAACATAAACTGTTGAACCGAATACTCTCAGATATTTAACTTGAGGTTTCTTGTCTCGTCAGAGTTCATATGGGGTTTTGTCTACTTTAACAGCCTTTGTTGGGGTTATGTTAATCAGGTACGTCGCAGTCAATACTGCGTCACCCCAAAAAATCTTGTCTAATTTTGCACCGGCTACCATCGATCTAGCTCTTTCAGTTATTGTTTTAACCATACGCTCAGCGACGCCATTTAATTGGGGAGTCCGCGGGACTGTTAAATGATAAGTAATCCCTTTCTTAATACAGTACTCTTTCATCTCATTGGATAAATATTCTCTTCCATTGTCACAGTACAAATTAACTAATTTCATGTTAAAATGGCTTTCTGCTTTTGCAACAAAATCTTTAAAGACACAAAATACTTCTGATTTGTGAGTAAGAAGATATGTAACACAGTAATGAGTATATTCATCAACAAAAAGAACAAAATAATGTTTGTTATTTACTGTAGCAGGTGTAATAGGCCCTGCTACATCTGAGTGTACCATAAAAAGTGGTCTTTTCACGTGCTCTTTATCTTTTTCTTTATTAAACGGTAATCGGCCCTGTTTCCCGTATATACACGCTTCGCAAAGGGAATCATCTGGTTTAACTTTCTCTATCTGTCCTAAATCACTAATCATACCTTTTGACTTTATTTCAAGAAATTTAGTTTTGCCCATGTGACCTAACCGCTGGTGCCACAATTCATAATTTTCCTTTTTACTAGCAAGTGCTACGACATCTGCTGAATTTATCCCCACCATGAAATCAACTGTGATTAAATTATTTCCAGTCTTACCTTCAATCACGGTTTTACCATTTTTACTAATATGTACTCCCTGTTGATCGAAGATAATAGTCATCCCAGCCTCTTGTAGTCTTGTGACCGACAGCAGATTGTGGGGAACCTCAGGACAATAGAGAACACCTTTCAGTACTCCCTGAATCCCGTGTTGCTGATGACTCTCAGTGTACCCTTCTTTATTGCACTAATGTATGCTCCATTTTTCGCAATAGAGATCTTCATCGGTGTTGGGAGATCCACAAACTCAGCAATTAAATCATTTCGATTGATAATGTGGTCCGATGCACCAGAATCCAAAATGAATTTTATCTTTCCATTTTCTTCTCTCCCATGTGAATAGTTTCCAACCATAAATGAGAAACCAGATGTGCCTTGGCTGGAGTCCAGGTATTGAGCCGCCCCATGGTGTCGGTGTCTGTCTCGTTCTGCACCATCTCTGTCACCCTGCCTGTTTTAGATTTTCAGTCAGTTGTGACCTTTTGTAATGCCTGCACTCACTCTGTCGATGTCCTCTCTTACCGCAATAAAAACATTTTCCCTTGAACCCAAATCTTTGAGTTTTAAACTTGTTGAAACTCGATCGAAAACCCCTTGGTTTCTGCCATTTGTTGTCATGTGTCTTCCGCTTGTCCTTTTCCTTTTCAACATGCAATACTGTAGCACTCGTGTCATTTCTTTTTGCCTTCAATTTAACTTCATAATCTAACAGTCTTATCTTCCCGTACTCGAGAGTTAAATTATCCTCAGTTGTTTGCATGGCAGTGATTATTCCATCATAGCTGTCTAGCATTGTTAACAGTAAATATGATACTTTGTCGGCCTCTTCCAATCTACCACCTGCCCCCAGGAATTCTGTTACCAAATAATCAAAAGCTGTGAAATGTTGAATCGATGGTTTATCCTCTTTGTATTTTATTGTGATCAGTGCTTTGCGCACTGAGTGTTGACTGGGCAGACTCTTTCTCTCATAAACACTGTCCAGTTTCTCTAAAATCTGTTTTGCTGTCAGACCATCTTTTGCGAAACAGAGGTATGAATCTGACAAGTGTTGAACAATTGCAGCTCTTGCAGTACGTTGAGATTTTAACCATTCCGGTGTCACAGGATCTGGGGTCTCAGAGTCAATTACATCGATCACATTTAGTCCTGATAGTAATTCACGAACTCTGAACTTCCATACACTATATTTTTCACCATTGAATGGTTTAAAGTGCTTTTTCACTTTCACGTCTTCCATTGTTTCAAATCAAACGCAACTGTCACTATAAAATAAATCCAAACACTATCACTCTAACTATTAACTAATTTACTCTGCCCTATTGAATACTAATATATATACACTGCGTTCTTCTGGGCCCATAACCTATTGGAAATGGGTGATTTTTAATAAAAATCAATCTGGTTGAGTTGAAACTTTTCATTATTTGAAATTATTTACGAGGAAGACACATCCACACGCTTTGAGCTCCTCAGATGGACTAACTAAAGAAACAAAGATCTCAGAGGTCTGAAACCCTGGCGACATAGACCCAGAAAGGTCTCTATTCATTTACAGATGTTTAGACTGAAAAACTAAATGCCCAAACATTCGTCCACGCTCTTCTCAGAATTTCAGATCAGAAAAATGTTCTCTTATAATAATATAAACATACTGTGAAATATAAAATTAATTTTTGTAATCATGGAATATGAACTCCAACAACTACGAATTTTTATTGTGGATTATTAAAAAATACTAGGTTCACTGTTAGAAAAAGTGATGAAAAATTGCCAAGATGTGCACCGGAAATTTCATGCAGAAATTTTTAACAATGTTTGCTTCAGTAATTTTTGAGATATTGTTTTCTGTTTTTGCACAATTGAATTTAATTAATGATTTGTTCATTTCTTTGTTTTTTTTCGATTACTTTCAGTAAAGTGTAGCTTTGCTTTGTATTTTTTTAGTGGCTCCGAAGGGAGCCGTCAAGTCTTTTTCAATAAAAATGGCCAGATAAACATTTAAAAAATCAATTTCCTTGAATAAAAAGTTTTTCATCAGTATCTCGATAACTACACTCAATATAGCATGAAATATGATTCTCTGTATAACAATATTCTCAAATTGAGTTTTCTTTCCCCTGTGTAATTGCCCAGTCATGTGGATATTCATTGCATCGTGCTTGCACATTTTTCTTCACTGAAGAGAGAAGATTTTTTTCCAATCATCATGCATCGATACCCGAGGACGCCAGAGAAAGTAATGAATAATAATTAATCCCCTAGAGTTTTTATGTCCGAATTTGGGTTTTTTCGGGGGAAGATAACAAGTATTTGGTGGTTGGAGTGATAATTCATCTGATTCTCTGATCAAAAATTCTTTCAATCGATTCAACAGTAGTGACAATGCGGTGATTAATGACCTCCATTATTTACAATCTCGATTATTCTTTAATTTTGTTAGGATATTGGCGCGTTTTAACCTTCTCCCTCGTACTGGTACTCGCAAGTGGTGGTGTGGAAGCGAAGTCACATCGATCAATGTTAGACTTTACCCTCGATAATTTGGATCTGTTGTTCGGACCAACGGGGTGCATTGAAGGTCGGTTTCGTTTATTAATTTATCACTTTAAAAAAAACAGCCTCAACTCTTCAATTTATTCTCCTTCAGTCAATGAAAATAAAAAAAAAACATCTGTAAATTGAATAATTGAGTCACAAGAAACAACTTGAAGCTTTTATCTTCTTTTTTTTATCTCTCTTCCGGTACTCTTCATTTATTACATTTTATTTTACCGCGATAACTTCAGAAGTATGGAAATTCGAAAGTATGGGGGAGGGTCGAGCCTTGTCGATGCATCAACAGACAATCAACTCGTCGCCTTTTTGACTTCCACTCATCAATTCAATTATTGGTTCACTTCGTCATGGAAACCACTCAAATTACAACAGCAATCCTGGTTATTCATTGGAAATGCTTGTATGTTGAATTGCTTGTATATATTTTCACTAGAAGTACCATCCTGTGTATAATTTTTATTTTGCTTTGTAGTTGATAGATGTGATGCTTCAACAATGAATTTTTGGTGAATAACATATTTGAGAGAATGGGAATGAATAATTCAATTGAAATTTGAATTCATTGAAATATTTCGACGAATCAATTGACATGGCATTTTTGTCGATTCTGCGCCTTAGAGCAAAATTTCGACAGATCTGTTCGTCCACAACCACTTATTCTCGAGATAATTGCATTATTGGCGAAATAAGTCAAGACTACAGATATCGCTTCGTTAGAAATATATCATATATAGTTTATAAATTCTTCTGCATACTCTAACTAGTAAATAAAATATTATATGAGGTAATGTGAATGAATTCTTTGATGGCAACCTGTATTCAATTTATGGTCTGTCTCCATTGATATGGTCTGTTAATTACTATTATAATTATCTCAGAAACGATTGATTCGAGAAAAAAATATGTTCAATATTTCCTCCACAAAACTCCTCATCCTCGAGATAATTGCATTTTTTCTCTCTAAATTGCGCAAGGATGACACGTAAAAAAAAAAGTCCAAGAGAATTAGAATTTAGAGAGAAAAAATTTCCGTTTCACCCAGCCGGGAATTGAACCCGGGTCTCCCAGATACGCGCCGGGCACTCTTACCGACTAAGCTACCGGGAACCACAGAAATTGACTCTCAAATTCACCTCATACACCGCCTAACCTCCTTTAGGTATTAAAGAATTCTAAGAGAATTCGATTTTAGAGAGAAAAAATTTCCATCAGCAAAAGCGTCAAAAATACAGATTTTGAAACATGGCAACTTGATTATGAATTTTCGTTTGTCATTTGAATTTTCAATGTTGTGAATTTGAATTCAATTTAAGGCCCGGGTGTACTATCTTTCGACTGTTACCTGCATTTTTTTTTCTTTCGTAATCCAAAATTGTCAATTGTACATCATGTAGAAATCCCCAAAAATTATGATAGAATGATATAAAAAAAATAGAAAAAATTCTGAACTTTTTCAAAGAGCGTTTAATTGAGATTCAGAATGAATTGAAAAAAGTGGAAATTACAAATATCTGATTCGCTGTGACAAAGTATCTATTACCTGTCATTTTCCATGGTGGATAACAAAACACTAACTCCTCATGGGAAGTGACAGCTAGGTATCTCAATTTTCAAAACAGTGGTCTGTAGTCATCTGCCATTTTTATGTGATAAAAGTGTGTTTAAAAAATTCTCCAAAATATTACAACTTTTTTCAAAGAGCCTTTTCCGTAATAAATGTCTCTGTGCAGTGTGGGAAAAGATTTACGAAATCAGTCTTCCCCCTGCATGATATTGGGTGACAGGCCGCCATTTGTTACCGTAAATCAGATACGTTTTTTAATTCCTTGTTATTCAACTTATTCTGAATATAAATCAAAAATACTGTGACGTTTTGAGTTAGGTCACCCACCAAATTAATCCTGGGTGATCTAACATGTGACTAGTCCCTGGGACTAGTCATAAATAGAAAATGTTTGACGATACACTTTCCTCCAGTCGTACCCTACACTCCGGCTATTACTCCCGTGGGATGCACTCGAGCTGGGAATAGTTAGGATTATTGGGAAGGTATTTTCCGGTAAAACACTCGCGTATTTAATTGTTAAAACCTATACGTTTATTCACTAATTACTAAGAACTAAGATACACGACAGTTTTACTATTGGGTTCGGTAAACGCGTCGCTAAAGTATGGAGGAGCTGGGATGACCGTCACGCTTCACTCGCGATCGTACTCTAACTGTAAAGGAGTCCAGAAAAAGCTTTAAGACTCGAAATTGCAAATTAACCATTCTCACGGTTTGGTCAACTACTACACATTTGTGTCATCATTGACACATGCTACAACAGTCAAACAGCTTCTTTTGCTAAGAAGCAAAAGACGCTGACGCATACTCTTTGAAAAGATGAAGAATTTCTTCTACTTTTTTTTATTATTCATTCATAATTTTTCAAAACTTCTGCATGATGCAGGACTCAATTGACAATGTCAGATGACGAAAGATAAAAAAAACATCGAGATAACGTTCGAAAGATAGTACACCCGGGCTCTAAGATAAAAACGTTCATGAATTTTGTCATTAATCTTGGAGATTCAACGAAATTGAGTTTTCCATTTTAGGCAATCATTGATATTTCAATGATAGCTGAGCAATTCCATGTCGAATTCGAAATAAAGAAAATGTCATCGATATAAAGACGCAGGCCCACATGGCAACATCAAAATGGCTTCGAATGAAGTGGAATTCAAGCTTCTACCTACTATCATTCCCACAATGAGAAAAAAAATTGTTTTTGCCAAGCATCCATATACTTAAGAGAAGTATTAATTTTTTTAATAACGTATTTCTCCAGTTGAGTCGTTCCCAGGGGTGGCAGGACAGTTTATCCCCGAATTTTTTCATCCCGGGACATTTCATCCCGGTACTTTTCATTAAGTGTCCCCTCCTTCACCGTAACGATCAGGTGGATAGTTATATGTTTTAAAGTGGAATTTGGCTTGAAATGAGTCGCGTTTTCAACTATTACTAGTTATAAAATTTTTTTTCTTTGTCGTTTACGCATTGTTCCCGGAAACGAATTTCTTAAAAAAAAACAATCACTCGTTTAATGAAGAACAACTGTAAAATAATTATTGTCCTTTGGTGAAAATATCGGTAATTATGTCCCTAAGTTACTCCTAAAATTTCAAATAAAAAAACAAGTTCGAATTTAATTTTGCCATAATGGCTCGAAAAATTGAATAAATTGAGTTCAATTGTGCTCATTTTGAAGCTTTTCCAATTACCTTCTAAACGATTTCCTTGTGAAAACGAAAATTCTATTCCTAATGATTAAATTCAATCATTTCGCCTTTTTCTCGAACAATCAAAATTCAAGTGGAAAACGTGAAATTTTTTGAAAAGTCATAACTCGCTGAAAAAAAATCGAATCGGTCTAAAAATTTTATGCGACCTTGGTCTCATGTACTCCTAAGAAAAAAATCGGCAAGACAATCGGAAACATGAAATTTTTTTCATTTCGGACTTCACATGGAATTGCTCAGCTTGAATTCTCAATCTCATGAAAATTTAACACCAATTCAGTAGCAAAGCGGTAAAGGAGCGTTTCATTCAATCGGCTTTTTTTCAATTTCGATGAAAATTGAATATGATGTAGATTGTTCCAACTTCCAAGCATGCCATGAAATGTTATTTTAAAAAAACAACAATTTTTTAATTTGAAAGTTATGCGAAATTAAAATTTTTAGTATGGATCAGGTAAGTGATTTAAAAAATATAACTCAATAAATATCACTTTTATCAAAGAAGTGCAAAAGAATTTTTTATTGAAAACAGATGTAAGTTTCCGAAAAAAAATCCAGACTCGAAAAAAGTGAATTTATAATAAATTCATCAATAAATAAATTAAAAAGTTGGCGATAAATCATAAGGGCATGTCGCAAACAATTGGAAAAAAATATGTTATAGAGTAGGTATCGAAGAATTCCCGATACAATGGGCGTTCACTAATCTCCAGTAGTTTCCGACATTGCATTTTTTATGAGGCTCAGCTGACTAGAGCGGAGCTGTCAGCGTGCTTGTGGTGAGTGGACTTGGTACCATCTCCGATGCCTGGTATAGATTCTCAGCGTCTGGGGAATAAATATATTACAATTGATTGTCTACGATTGAATTCAATTTGTAATCGGCACATAAGACTGTAATTGAGGGTGATGGTTAAAGCATTGGAGAGTCTAATTTTCAAATTCTCTTCTATTTTATATTGCTCATTTGTACAAAAGATACGTTCTATTGGCTTTATTGAGTCTTTGGCGAATTCATAAAAATCGTGTGGTGTTTTAATTTAATTTTCATACGGTCATTGTAAACTCACCTTCACCGACGCGATTTCACATGGCGATTTTTGGTGGGACGTTGCGGAGAAATGCCATTCAGCACTCGTACCGGAGTCCAATTCGAAATAAACGAGATTAATTAAATTTTTTCTATTTTTGTACTGAGACCTGGCACCGCCCGAAAAGTAAATTATTTTATTGATTTGACTATATGTACTTTTCAGACGGCTGCTTTATGTACCAGTTGACTGTCCATTGACATTTCCGAGAATCATTTAATTGTCAATTAGTAATATAAAGTAAGGAGTACCTGTTTTGCAAGCTCCCGAAATTCGTTGTTGATTGAAGTTCGAAGAAAGTACCACGCTGAGAACGCATCGGGTATGATTCACTCCGCGGGTTTCGCTACCTTTAGCGTACATCGGGGGAAACCGCAGACTGGCGCAGCTTCATAAAAAACTCAATATCTCGAAAACACTTCTTTGATAAAATTCATATTTATCGAGTTATAATTTCTTCAAAAATAATTCATCTGGCCCAACCTGAAATTTTAATTTTGTATAACTGCAAAAAAAAATGTTTTCTTCTAATAATCATCCAAGACATGCATGGAATAAATCGACAATATGCTCAAGTTTTCTTGAAGTTTGAAAAAAAAGTCTTTCGATTTGATCGAAGTAGTATGGAACGCTCCTAAAACGATCTAAGTCGACCTAGCTCTTATCTGAGTTCACGAGGAATATTTCCGAATCTAAGAGTAAAAGCGGAATTTTCATAATGGTCTTTTTTGTAACTCTCAATATTCTCTACAAAAAAGGTCGTAACGAAAATTTTTCTATTTGCCTTAGATTGCGAGATATTAATTAAAAACTGATCAATAGTCAGAATCGACTTGAACCGTTTTACCGCTTCGCTAGTAAATTTAATTGAATTTTCAATCGATTGAATGTTCAGAACAATAGTTGCCTAATTTTTACAAATTCTCAATAATTTTCATTGTTATGTGGATCTTATTTTATTATTCCATGATTTTTCAGTAACATCACATACGAAAATTTCATGTAAATTGATCGTTGTCACAAATTTCAAGATTTTTACATGAAATTTAAGGATTAATTTTCTAACAGAGTAATTATCAAACCTCTCAGGAGCGAGCATTGTTGGTAAAAAAAATTTTCTCAAAACAAGAAAAAAGATTTTTCCTTAAAACTCATTCTCAAGATAATTCCATAATTACCAGAAGACCTCAAGAATACAGATTTCAATGCTTTGAAAAAATCCAATCACTCAATTCCTCTACAATCTCTCGTCCCTCAACCGCCAGCCCGACTAACCCCAGCCTCCAAATTATCCAGGCACCCTGGTAAGCATCGACGGGAACAGACAGACGGATGGTGGTGTAGTACTGCAAGGTCAAACAGTCGTGCAGTATACCCACCAAGGATCCCACCAACAGCCCCAACAAAATCAGCAGCTCCCCCAGTCCTCAAACCCCGACTCAAAGTCCCCAAACCAGGAAAGCCCCCACTCTCGGGATCACAGTCCGTCCGACAAGAATCACGCCAATGCCACCAACAACTTGGCAAACATGAAAGAGAAGACACCAATGTGCTTGGTAAACGAACTAGCTCGTTTTAACAAAATTCAGCATCAGTACAGACTCACAAATGAACAAGGTCCAGCTCACAAAAAGCGTTTCACAGTAACATTGAAATTGGGTGAAGAGGAGTACGTGGCTGATGGTCCCAGTATAAAAAAGGCTCAGCACAGTGCAGCAACAGAGGCATTAACAAAAACCTGGTACAGACAGCCACCGCCCAAACCGAGAGGCATGAGAATTCACCAGGGTAAGAGTCCCACAGGTACAGGAAATTTTACAGGACATTTACCCCCGACAGTTGAACTAAATGCATTAGCAATGAAGAGGGGAGAACCCACTATTTACACATTTAAGCACGCACCACCAGCCAACCCCCAGCCATTTGTGAGCCACCAGTACGGAAACATTCCTAATCACCTGAGAATCTTCAACCCACCCTATCCACAGATGAACCGCCCATACCACCCTAAGTCCGAGGGTCTTTTCTTAGTGACATTGAAAGTTGGGGAGAGAGAGTTCATTGGAAAAGGGGTGACTGCCCAGGCGGCTAGACACGATGCGGCGAGCAGAGCACTCGAGCAACTGCGACAGCTGCCACTTCCTGAAGAAGTCAGCACAACTGTCACTGAGAATGGAACGACAACAGGTGTTGAGGATCCCAATGCTGAGCTGAAGAGTCCTGTTTCTTTGGTACATGAGACTGCTTTGAAGAGGGGACTCTCGGTGAGTTTTGAGGTGGTTTCAGAAAGTGGAAAGCCACACATTAGAACATTTACGACTAAATGTATTGTTGGAGAGAAAGTGACTCTTGGGGAGGGATCATCGAAGAAGGTTTCGAAGAAACGAGCAGCTGAACTCATGCTTGATGAACTTAAGAGACTTCCTCCCATACCTGGCAGTATGCAGAATAGAGCAATCAGGCTGAAGAGAAAACCACCGGCCACTAAGAAGAAGTCACGTAATTTGATTAAGGATTATCAAGAGCCTAGATCTGAGACGGAAACATCGGACGATGTTAATCCGATATCGCGTTTAGTACAAATACAACAGGCTAAGAGGGAGCGAGAACCAGTTTACACGTTGATTGAGGAGAAGGGTGCACCGAGGAGGCGGGAATTTCTCATGGAGGTCTCGATAGGGCAGCATTCGGCGCAAGGGATTGGACCGAATAAAAAATTGGGGAAACGTGCCGCTGCCGAGGCACTTTTAGCGCAGTTGGGGTACAGTAAACCGCAGACCCAACCAACTAAGCCGTCGATCAAGACTGCGGACAGCGACAATTCTACTTCTGAGAGTAAACCGAGGAAGGTGACTTTTTTGGAGGATGATCTTAAGGTGCAGACACAGGAGGAGCCGCAGAGTCATGGGGGTAAGGATAATATGATAATTTGGGTTGATAGTTTATTTGACAATTTACATTTTCTTTTTTAAGTTCCCAATTAACATTAGTTATTGTAGTGGAAAATTGAAACTTGAAACTGAAATTTCGTAATATCTCCATGTTTCATGTGAACGAAATTTTGCCGAATTTATTTTTTAAGAACATCGTAAGAGCCGTTGCTAGGAGCCCGCATTTCATTATCTATTATCTCCTAAACTGTGTAGTACAGCTAGTTGGATTTTTCTTTCAGTAGCTGGGGAATATTATAAACATTATTTTATTCATTCTTATTGTCATTATATATATTTCTGTTCCTTAATTCACAAGTTACAACATTGAATGGAGAGGAATTCCCCATAAATCACGTGAGAATACAGATTGAAAACCAATTTTCGATAATCATACTTAAAATTGTTCATTTCTTTCTTTTTCTTTAAATGAATTAGTACTAATGATTTGAAAATGGGAACGAATATGAACATTTTACATCACTTTGATCTCATTTCAATGGAACAGAAAAAGGAAATTGCAACGCGAGATCGATCATCATCAATCAGTATCAATAAAATGAAAAAATCTATTTTTCTGTCTTTTCGAAATTTGTCAAATTGTTTTTTTCTTCTTAAAAAATGAAAGGAAATTGACATTTTTAATTTCTGTGATCGTATTCCATTCGCAGAAACAGGAAATACGGAAAATGTAGGGACGGAAAATCCGAAATAAACTTAAAAAATTGATTTTTCAATCTTGAAAATTTCAAAACCTTTTTTTTTTATGAAGAAAAACCATGTATTTTCTTCCTATTATCTAATTCTGATGGAAGAAAGTGAAAAGAGGAAAAGAAACGAAATCAATATGAAAACACAATTCTTAATTTTTCAATGTCTAGGGAAAATTTTAAAATTGATATATTTTTTCGAATAGTGAACCAATACCTACCAATTCAATTCCTATCCTCCCATTTTCATAGAATACATAAAAAAATATCAAAGAATTCAAATCGGCGATGAAAAATTTTATCAAATTATTATGTAATAATTTAAGAATTCTGAAATACACAGATTCTAGGAGCATAAAAACCTCCAAACAAAAACGTCAAATTGTAGGACTCGTGGCTGTTCGTTCGGGAATACGAAATCACTACTCAAGCGGAGTAACTACATAACTAGTTTATTCGCCGAAACATTAGAGAGAATTATATCGTCGCATTAAAATCAAAGGGGCGTAAGTGCCATTTCTCTGAGATTTTTTTTCTCTTAATACCAAAGGGGCGTATGTTTTTTTTTCCTTCGAAATGGAGTTTTTTCAACTTATGAAAGGTTTTTTGTGGACAAATTTCTGAAGTGGCAAATGGACGTAAGTCCAACTAGCAAGTACTGAAGGGGCGTATCTCCAGCACATACGCCTCTTTCTTTATATACTTTTTGTTTCTTTTCTAGCTCATATTGAGAATGAATAATTCCAAAGGGGCGTAACTCAGGCACATACGTCCCTTTATTTTTGAAGCAATAATCACAGAGGGGCGTAACTCCAATATATATGTCCCTTCATTTGTTACTGTTCGTTCCTATTGATTCATCAAGTATAAACGGAATCACATGCACTACAGCCCTAATAATAAATAATATTTGATTCTACATTAACCTCCCCTCCCTCCCTCTCATCATGAATGTTCAAATTATTTCCCTTTGATTTTTTGCTTGAATGAAACAATTTCATGAGAAATATCAGTAACTAAACTAAAATTTTCTAAAATTTTCTTCTAAATTTATTCGATTTCATTCATTAATTTATTTCATTTTTTTAAATTATGACTGCGAATTTCAGGAAATTATCTGTATGAAATTTCGAGTCGTGACTGCTTTGAACACTTCGGAAGAAAATGAGACCATAAAGGAAGAAGAAAATAGTTAAAGCGTTTTATGTTGATATAACAATATAAAACTCATTATCGCGAGTAGACCTAAGATATAATGAGAGAGAGGCGTATGTGGGACTTACGCCCTTTTCGTTTTATTTCAACATGAAATGTGTCATCCGAAGTGCACAACACATAATGTAAAAAGGGCGTAAGTGTCATTTTTTGAATGAAATGAAACAGGCGTAAGTGTGGAGATACGCTCCTTTCCCGTTGAAATATAGCAATTACGCCTTTTTCCTAGATTTTTTTTTTCCGATTTTTGGTCAGAAATTCCATGAAAAACCGAAAAAACAGGAATTCGGAACATACGCCCCTTTCACTTTTAAAATGGGTTTTTTGGCACTTACGCCCCTTTGATTTTAATGCGACGATATATAAGTGATGTTAAATTATGAATCGCGTTATTCAGTCAGTCTTCGACTGACTGAATTCGAGTAGTCGTTACTTCAGAACCTCAGAGGTGCGTGTGTGTCCTCTGAATGTGTGTGTGTGAGGGCTATACTATAGTCGTCCCTCAGATAGTATGTAGCGAGACGCTACAAAATGACATTAAAAAATGTGTTTTGACATGCAACAATAGTCTCATCCCCCTTTTAATATCCATCAGGTTCACTTGGACGTCAGTTAGTGCCAGGTCTATTACTGGTAGACGGTGGACAAGACTCTAAATTAAATTCCGGTCCAAGTGTTCAAGCAGTGGCTGAAGAGCTTCGAGAGCAGCAACAGAGCAGCCCCTCTGGTATTTCTCCAAAGGAGCAATTGAAGTACCTAGCCCAGTTGCTGAACTTCGAGGTTGAATTCAGTGATTTTCCAAAGGTAAAGGTCTCCATAATTCCTCACAATTTCTCATCAATCTGAACCAATCATCGTACAAATGCAATTTGAATAAACAATCAGACTAAATAGAATTACTTAAACCAATAGACTTTTCAGGGCGTGTACAAGGAGTATCTCTCGCTGGTCTCCCTCAGCACTGATCCACCCCAAGTCTGTCATGGTCATGGCCCAACGACCAGTGCCAGTCGTGACCAGGCTGCACTGACAGCCCTCTGCACTCTCAGCAAACTCGGTCTCGACAGTGTCACCAACACCCAGAACAAGAAGGACAAAGCAGCGACTAATGATGCCATCAATCATATTAATAATCAGGCGAAGCATAATGTTCTTAATCAAGCGATCGAGAAGTAACCAAGCAAAATGGCTTCCTCAATGCACAAACCCCTCGTGCATCTAATGGTATAAAACAATTCTATATGTCTTTCCTTTAACATTTTTTTTTCAGGAGAGTGCGACAAAATAGTGTATTTCTGGGCGAATGCCATGGGGTTTTTACTCACGTGGAGTTTGAGCCGAAGACGAGGACTGATCAACCACGTGAGTAAAAAACCCCATGACATTAGTCGTGAACGATATTCTTCCGTAGTGATTTCCCATTTTACGAGTCTGAAGACCAGTTAATGCCAATCCGCGAATGAGGAAAAGTGAAGAGTAGTACAGAGAAGGTTCTTTTCAGCACTTCGTTATTCGCATGGTTTTCAAACATTACACCCAAAGTAGTTTTTCCGAGAAAAATAAACTTTGAATGAAGAAAAAAAATTGGTAATGCTAAGGAATTACAGGAAAATGGCTTGGGGTGTATTGCACACCCCACGTGTGTGACGAAGGGTTAAAACTTCAATATGTCCTGAATGAAATAATATGATTCCAAGGGAAGGCTACTATGAGGTTTAAACATCATGGGTCATTAAAGTGAGGATCTTCATGTTTTGTTGGTGGAAAAAAAACTCATTGGTTATTATCCGTTTGCTATGCAGAAGCTTAAGATTATATAATCGTCTTGACCTTCTGCAGTTTGTGAGATTGACAACTTTTCTGTTTCCCTAAAATTCTTAAAAAACAGGGTAGAAAAACAATTACGCTTCACTTTTTCCGTATTCAAAATCTCAATCAGTATAAATGTCGAATTATTTCGAGTTGTTCAGTGAATTCTAAGTATAAAAAATAAGAAATTACTCGATTTAGGAGTCAATTTTTTTTTAAATTAAAAGAGTTAATTTTTCTGCACACTTTTTAGATTTAATTATTTTCGGCTTCTGCACGGCTAACGGACAATGGACAATTAGGTTTTTTACGCTAATTCTCAATTTTTGCACACATGGAATACAGGAGAAATATTTTTTGTTTAATTTGAAAGCTCTTTATTCATGCTCTGAGATACAAGGTTACCTAAGGGCAGCATAAGTTAAGCAGATAATTTTCATATATGTGATACAAAATAATAAGCAATAAAAATAATGAAAATAATAGTGGTAATGAATAATAATTAGTAATGAAAATGCCACACATTGTCCCCAAATTCAAAGTAAAAAGTTATCATTGATTATCAAAATAACTAGTGAGGGCATCAAAATTGAGGACAAGTTCCGCAGCAATAAATCAACAAAATGAATAATGTATGGAAACCCTCGCTTGAATAACCCATGATTTTTGAAAATATCAGTCTCCCCTTAAGGGTGAAACACCTGTGAGAAAAACGATGACACTGATTCGGAATTTTTATAGCACGCTCATCGTAGTTCTTAGGTAATGCATGATTTTTTTAGAATTTTTCTGAATTTCAGTGTCAAGTTAGTTATTAACAATTAAATTCTTCTCTTGTACATAAAAGTCCATCTATAACAAACGACTTTGATTGTTAATAACTTGATAAGGAAATCTAGAAAAATTATACATCTCCAAATGTCATTACGATAATTCTGTGGAATTTTCAGATTGATGTCACCATTTACCTTTTTCAAACGAAATACCTTAATCAACTTGGGGTCATTTCCAAGCATGGAAATGGCGCAGAGTTTGTTAGATTGCACTCTGCTAATCGGGAGTCATTGACCATTAAAAAAAGCTTATTTTGACACACTCTCCTCTCAATTAATTTAAAAACCATCATTGCTAATATAAAAGCAAGCAGATAGCGGTGTTAATGGTCGCTTGGAATTGTGGACGCGCCTTTCTTATTTGTTAATTTTACTCGCAGTATTATTGCCCTTGCGGAATAGCATTTTCTACGATGTTTTTTTATTCACGTTGAGGTTTATCACTGATTGTTTCTGAGGAGTTAATTTTTCTACTCCATTGTCATTAATTGCAAATTGTTGGATAGATTTGTTATTAAATGACTCTTCCGCCTAGGGTGACACGTCAACGCGTTTGTCTGTTCTGTCTGATGATGACAAATATGAGAAAAAAATACAAAAAAATGATTGAATTAGATGATTTCACGCTCTTCATTTATCAAGCACGATGAAAGAAGAAGGTTAATTAAATGGACGAGAAAATTTGGAAAATTGTGGAAAAACCTGGGACGAGATGGCGGCCATTCCCCAGGCCCTTAATTGCCTCGAATTAACTCTCGAAATGGAACTGATATGTTCTCTCTATTTTTCATTTTATTTTTCCGTGGTTTCTTCATTAAGTTTAATCTATTATTCCTATTTTTCTCTCAAAATTGATGATAAAGTCAATAGTGAGTCTCGAATAGAGAGTATTCGAGTACTTGTCAACGTCAAGTAACTTTTTTTCCAGGATTAATTGAATAAATCTTGATTTCTCTTATTTTTTTTTCTAGCTTTCATTCTTGGAGTTTGTACCAACTTATTTGTGTTCAACTCTAGCCCCATCGTCTCTTGAATTGTAACTTATGAATTGATACCATTAAACGTTTTATGAAATGGAGAAGACAAAATAGTAATTAGAGGTAATAATCTACGATTCGCCTTCTTTGTTGCTTTATGATTTACCAGCAAAATTGAATCTGAATTTTGCACAATAACAATTATAAAACAACGCCCTGAACCGTAGTCTATCACCGCAAATTGAGGAAATGAACGAGCAAAATTTAAATAGGTAAATGGGGAATTTCTTGTAACGATTTATGATAAATGATAATGTTATAGAGCACTTTTTTGGATGACCCCGGATGCCTCTGTTTCGAGGTAAGGAAATCAGGGACAGTAAAATGATTATCGTCGGTATTTCTCATGGAAATAGTTTATTGTTTTTTTAATGATGCTTTTCCCTTATTTCCTCACTGCATCAGAGGGGGGATGGACGAGTGTTTATTGGAAATTACCCGGTGTTATCCAAACCAGTCTTATTATTATTCGTATAAGCCTAATAAATTAAATGAAAAATAAAATGAAAAGGAAGAAAAATAAAAGGTCAGCGCAGATGCTAGACTTTTGCCAAGAAATACATGTGTATAGAAGGATTTATTTAACCCCATGTTACCTTTAATTACTCTCATTTATGGATTGTCGAGGTATTTCACTATGTTTTGACCTGTATTAGTTGTAATCATATGCTGGATTCCCGATGAATAAATTCACACACACAGATTTTATATTTCAATAAAACTAATTGGTATTCAGGGAATAGCTGTTCAACTGGTAAAAATTGTGACAACTCTGACTTATTAGTCTATGTTCTAATGGAGATTTGGTTGATAAGAGGTTCTGCTTAAAATGCGAAAATAATATAATGCTAAGTTGAAATTACGGATGTCCTCAGTTTTTTCTACCTGAGGGTGCCAGCAAAAGCGGATGGAGAGATGGCAAACGTGGCCCTGTTTTGGGCATAAAGTCTCTAACGTAAAGCAATTCCACGCTAAATCCGAAATGAAAAAAAGTGCTAGTTTCCGATTGAGTTCACGATTTTTTCCCGAAGAAAATTATATAAGACAAACTTATCCCAAAATTATCAAATCAGTTGAAATTTTTTTTTCACTGAGTCATAAATTTAGGAAAATTTGGACTTTTGTAAAGTAAATTTTGATCGCTGACCACAACATAAGATATCTTGATTTTAGGGTTGGGAATTGAATTCTTGCCTTCACGCATTAATAGACATTCAAAAAAGGTTCAAACTAAGACCAATTAAAGTCGATTATTTAGTTGTGTTATGAGGCTGTTACCGTCGAATCAATTTTTTTTTTCAATTTGTTACTACTCGAAATGCTCAATGTTAAAAATTCTGAAATGGTCAAGGTAGGAACATAATTGCCAGTATCTGCTCCACCAAGGGCAATAAGTTCTTTTTGTCATTCCGGCCGTGAGGCAGCGCTTCACGGACGCTCCGCTCCGCTCCGCGTCCGTGAATCTCTGCCTACGGCCGTCATAACAAAAAATACTGTTCGTCATACGGCCAAAAAAAACTTTTCTAGCTCATATGATTGCAGCCCTCGCCTTCGGCTCGGGCTGCAAACTCATGTTCACCAGAA